TATAAAGAGCACAAATATCAAGTGAAAAAATATTTTTATAGGGTTGGTGGATATAAGGATGTGGAAGGTGCAAGACAATGTCCACCGGATGATATGGACGACGAAGCTTGGGATAAGATGATTGATCTTCTTTTTTTGGGTGAGGGTTATAGGAAGCAGTGCGAAAAAGGTAAAGAAAGTAGGTCCAAACTTCCATTTGCGAGTTCTCATGGAAGTAAAACATATGCAAACAGACGACGTGAGGAGGTAATTAAATTTATTTGTATTATATAAAATTTTTATTAACACTTATATAAATATATTAATTGTTTTTGACTTATTATAGAGAGAAAAAGGACAAGACCCGCAACATATCGACGGTTAGAGATAGATGTGATTTAAAGAAAGTCGGGGTTGGTATACACGGCAAGCAGAAATAGCTTGGGTAAGTAATAAACAAAGTTAATAAGTTGTTTGATAAATATGTTATTATTATTATTATAGTTGGTTTAAGGTATATTATTATTGTTTTAGTGTATAAATTTAGTTATTTGTTTTAATTAATGTATTTTTATTGTTTTCTTTATTTTAGGAAAACATTCAACGAGAGAAGATGTTGATGCAATCAGAGCTCGGGGAGAACGGAAAGTTAAATGAAAAACAATGTCTCACTCGTGCCCTCGGTGAGAGACGCGGGCATATTCGCGGAATTAGAAGGAAACCAAGCATCAATAATAATTTATTTCCAAATGAACATACCAAACGTTCCAAAGCTTCCACATCCCAATCTTCAGATAATCCCCAAGTTGTTGTATTATCCCAACAAATTCAAATCATGCAACAACAAATACTACAAATGCAACAAATGTATAATAACAGTTTCGCGTCCGTCATTCCTAACTTCCAACCACAACCAATGCCACAATTCCAATTTAATCCCAATATGTTTTCACAAAATAACCCCGAAACAACCAATGAACTCGAGGATGATGATGATGATGATGATGATGTTGATGATGGTGGAGGAGGAGGATAAGAACTAGAATGATAATGAGAACAATGTTTGTTAAAAACTTGTTTTTTTTGTTATTTTGTTATGTAGTAGAATTTGAATTTGAATTTTAATGATATGTTATGTTTATTAAGTGTTTTATATTATTATGCAAATATCTTGTTTGGATTTGTTTTAAAAAACAGATTTGGTAAATATAACAAAACCTGTGAAAAATATTTTAAAAAAAAGGCTATACCGACGACATGTCGTCGGTATAGCTTTATAACTGTAAAAACGATTTTCCAATCCAGACGACAAGTCGTCAGTACTATTAGAATGGAAGTTGGTTGCACCTACTTTTCCAGACGACAGGCCATCGATATTGCCCTCACTTTTCCCGACGACAAGTCGTCGGTATTGCTCACCATTTTCCCGACGACAAGTCGTCGGTATAGAGTCCGAATAAAACTTTTTTTTTCGAAAATCAATCCCGACGATCTTTTGACGACGACATGTCGTCTGGATTGGTTACTCTATACCGACAACTCCTGTCCCGACGACTTTTTACAGACGAAATGTCGTCTCTATAAGCTTTACCGACGACATGTCGTCGGTACAGTGTCCAGAATTGTCGCATGCATAGGGGTCGATCCTTGTAGTGAGTTTCAAGAAAACAATGTCATAGCAAAATGGTGTAATCCATATTTCATAGCGTTAATCAAGAAGGTTCCAGACCTATGATTTATAAAATTATATAACCATTAGTTTTATTGGTTTCCAACATAAAATTTATGCATCTGATGTTATTAGGGATATGATTAGCATGGCTTAGTCAACATTCACAAAAGGGCATCAAATTTTATACGACATTTTAATGTTAAAGGAAATAGTCGGATGGTACAAATTGAATAGATTAAAACAAATGGTGTTTTAGGATGATTTCACAAATGCTTATGACTTTTATCTTGTCTGTACTTGGATGCAGTGGCGGGCCTTAGTGGGAAAGTAGGGTAGCTCATGTTACCCCTCAGATTTTTTGGGGGAATGAAAAATTTTTGAGAAATTTTCCAGCATAGTGCAACTTTTCCGGCGTCTTACTAAGTTACGTATGATACCTCTGACATCTTGTTATTGCCCACTACTTCTTGGATAAAGTCTTTCATAAGATGGGTTTTGGGTCTAAGTGGAGAGGTTGGATAAGGTGTAACACCCGTGAATCCAGACTAAATATTTTGATGATAAAATCTATATTTAACTATTTATGAATCTCCATGGATAATTTTCATGTTGCTAGTTCGAGTGGCATCAAAATCAATCAGGTGGTGGCCTGATCTGCCAAACGGATATATCTCCATGGATAATTTCCTTGTTGCTAGTTTGAGTGGCATTAAAATAAATCAGGTGACCAATACAATTCTCAGGGCTTTGGTGTGGGTGATATGGAGTTATAAGATCAGATATTCAACTTAGCGATGTTCACATATCGGTCTTCAATTGGTTAAAAATTAGAGCTTAAAGTGGTGTTAATTTCAACCGGCAAAATTGGTGTATTGACCCAAAAAAATAATGTATCAATTGCATGTACAATAGTTTCTCGCTAACCTCTTATCAATAAATCTTTCTTTAATAAATCTTTCTTTTTAATGTTCAAAAAAAATATTTATGAATAATTAAAATTCATTAGTAATGACCATTACGATATAAAAAAATAAATTAAGTAATCTAGCCACAATTTTATGTGTATTTGAATCTGAATAACTAAAAAGAAAATTGTTTTTAGCAAAAATAACCAATCAATCGAAAATGTGCATTCCGGACCATAAAAAAACATTTTTTCTGACAAAAAAATATATTCCAGAATGACATTTCAGATTCTGAACTAAATTTTGGATTTCGGAAAAATAAATTCAGAATTTCAAGAAACAAGTCTAAAATCCGATGAACAATTATGGAATTTCGAGAAAAAAAATTGTTTTTACTTACATCTAACAAAAAGTTAAACAAACATAATAAATGTAAACTATATATGATAAGTGCATAAAATTAGACACTTTATAGAAAAACGGTGATATAAACATTTCAAAATGGATATTTCGAACATAAATGAAAAAAAAAAGCCAAAAAATAACTCCGGAATTTGAAGATCAAACTCGAAATGCAGCATTCAGAACGGAACATTCTTTGAAAAAAAAATTATGAAAAAAATACTACAGAATATGAACAATAGTCCGAAATGAGGCATTCGAAAAAACGATTATTTTTCAAAAACTGATATATAAATCAAAACTATAATGAAAAAGAAATAACCAAAATTAAAATAAGTACATACGATGAAACTTGAGGGGGGCAAAATAGGAATTTCAAAAAGCATAAATGATAAAAGGAAATTTGACATTTCGACAAATACGGAGAAGGGAGAAAAGACCGGGACCAAAGATGTAAATATGGGTTTGAATCGATTGAATGCATATCAGTTACGGGATTCATGCTGTCAAGTGTCAAGCCCGTATCTTCGCCAAACCCAATCTGACTTTTATTTCGTGTGAGGCGGACTTATGAACCCCGATGCAGTAAAGTTTAATCTATCTCTGATTTATTATCATTCGAAGTTTCAAACAACAAGATGCTGAAACATTACATGATTAAAAACACATTAAAAAATATAAAGAACACATAAATTTATCGAATGTAATTAGTTCGTCATTGGAATAAACACGCCAAAAATAATTTAGTGTGGGCCCACAAAATCGAATTTGTTGGTTATCTACTTATCCATTATACATGACCAAGTACAAATACCTTGCCCACTAACATTCTCTTTAAAGTTATCATGAGGTTATTATATTAGATGGGATAGCTTGATTTAAAAAATCGTCTGAATGTAATAAATAAACAATAGCAATCTACTTTTATTGGTTTGTTTTAAATGAATTGAATGTGAGAAATAGTATCTAATTTTATTGATTTGTTTTGAGAGAGAGAGAGAGAGAGAGAGAGAGAGAGAGAGGTGGTGTGGGCACCATATTTAAATTTAAAATAAACATTAAATTAAATAAAAAAACATAAAAAAAAATATAAGAAGGGCATATTAGTCATTTCAGTTTACCAAAACCAAAACAAAAGTTGTTCATGACAACTAATACAAAAAAGTTGGGGTTTGGACTAAAACAAAAAAAAAAAAAAAATTAAGGGACCATTTTTGCATTTTTGTCTATCCGTTATAAATCTCATCGTGTGTTACCCAATAATTAACAATTCAGTAAACTATTTCTATCTTACACACTATATCTAACACATGGATACACGCACAGTAAAATCCTACAACTCAAACACGTGTTTGCAACACACATCTCACACAAACAGGCACTAAACATCAACAATTTTTGTATAAACATTTATGTTACTAGTAACATTAAAGTAATTAGGAAATTTAGGAACAACTAATTGGGTGTAATCGTTCGGCAAACAAAACTCCTATTTCAAACCATGGATCATATAAAGAGGGATGCATAGACTACGGGATGGTAGCGATGTCTGAAAGTACAAGAGGAAAAGATCGGGGGTGATTGGTTCCATTACAAGGTGACGATGGGACTAGGCTTGGCCGACGATGAACCATGAAATAGGTTGGGTTTAGTAGGTTTGGGTTGGAGAGAATTAAATAAATATTTAACTAAAATCAGTAATATAAACTTTTGAAATTCTAAAAAGTTAAGCAGGAGAATTTTAGTCATTTTGTACGTTACACTAAACCACATGGACCTTTTTCGAAACAAATTAGAAAGTTAGAACCGAGATTGTGAATATAAACTTTTGAAATAATTTTAGTCATTCACTCCGACTTTTAATATAAAAATGCAAAACTTCTAAATTTTCTTAAAAACTGTATTATCTAATTTTTGGCATAACTTGTTGACGAGATCCATATAAACCGTCTATTTTTTTCAACATTTAAAAAGGCTTGAAATTTGGATGGAGGAAATTATTTCCGAATACTATATATACATGTTTACGATTTAAATATTAAAAAAAAAACACAGATACAGAGAAACTTTTCTCTAACGACTTTGATCGTTTCTCTGTCTCTCTTTATCTCCTCCGTCGGCCGTCGCAACGGTTTCCCGTTGCTTAACGGCGGCGTCGCTGCATTGCCTTCTCCGTATATAATAAACGATCTTCATTTTGTTAACACTCTTCAATTCCTTCAGATTATCAGTAAGCCGTAAGTACATTTTCAATTTTCACTTCATTAACGATTAATAGCGATTAAATTTCTAAATGATTATTGCATTATGTGATTTTACGATCTCATTTCTTCATCAGAATTTCTTTCGATTGTACTTTCAATTTCAACGTTAATCTCGTCTTCATTTTTTTTCTTGCTACGTATGAATTCGTGATTCGTGTAATCGGTGAATATATAAACATCATAATCTGTACTAATTGTGTAAGGTCGTAATTTGGTCGAGTTTAATCAACGTGCATTTGCCACCAACGAAAACGTGTCAATAACCGCTCGTAGATGCAAAACGTGTTGCCAAACTGGCTGGAAATTTTGTTGTTTTAAATTTTATGTCGATCGATGCAGATAAGATGAAGAAAATTGCAATCTGTAGTTTGATATGAATCATATGATTGTGGTTTTCTTAATTTCGTGGCTTATAAACCGTTTTCATGATATGTGTATTTCTGTATTATACGAATGTCTGGAAAATGTTATATGATTCTATGATGTTTGGTAATTATAGTTTGCAGACTCTGTGAATTTTAACTTTCAATTTCTAGGTTTCTTATGTTTCCATTTGAAATTCAAGAGTTTCCTCTTTGTTACTATACGCTTTCAAATAGGAAAGAAGGTGATTGAAATTCTATAGTCTATCCACTTGACTGAATCTGTTAATCATATCGTTGGGCAAGAAAAAGAAAGGAATAAAGGAAAACGAGAAAAAGAGTTTTATGCAGTTTTAATCCCGAAGTAATCACACACTTCATTGATTATCTATAATAAATGCTCTAATAGTTGATAGGCCAAAAAGTTTAATGAACATATTCACATATTGTATCTAATTTCTCATGTTACTTCATCATTGATTATCATCATTCAGTGTTCATCTCCTTAATCACTGTATTGCTTGTAACAGGGCAAGATGTTGGGATATATGCTCAATCGACTCCTTATGTATGTTTTCATCAAATATTCTTTTTTTTCTTCACATAATATATATCTCAACATAATCCATCATAATTTTCTTAAATTATGTCCAGCTTGCTTCTGGCATATGCATATCCAGCTTATGAATGCTTCAAAAATGTCGAGAAGAATAAACCAGACCTTGAACTACTTCGTTTTTGGTGCCAATACTGGTATCATATTGCATCAAGACAAGTTATTTACTTATTTCCAACTTTACCCTCTAAAACTAAAACCATATGATCACAACTTTTCAGGATCTTAATCGCTGCAATGACTGTTTGGGACCCGTTTGGTGATTCAATAATCGGATGGTATAAAAAAGATTTTTTTTTTTAAAACATAACTTTCATATTCTTATATATAATATGATATATCTACTTGTTTTAACTTTGGGTTTTCACTTGTGTGTTTTAGGCTCCCAATGTATAGTGAAGCCAAGTTGGTATTTTGCGTATACTTGTGGTACCCCAAAACAAAGGTATA